ATTTAGGGGTTAAGTGGCCATTATTTTTAAAGTAATTGTTGTTGTTTTTGAAAATGTCCATGGGGTGGAATTAAGAATATTTTTTGTTCATGTGGATTTTCTCATCTGTTTTTTCCAGTGTTTCTCAAAATGCACATTTTTTGTGTTATATTAATTTTATAAATGAGAGAGAGAGGGAGAGAGTGAAAGGGAGCATTTTTTTTAAGTAGCAAATGATTGAACCATTTTCTACCTGATGCATAACTACGTGAGAACTCTGGATTCTAGAAATAACAGGCCAATTTTATTTGACTCAGTGACACATCTTTAAGGTCAAACTCCCAGAGTTTGTTCCATGTCTGACAAAACAGCGTGAGTGGGGATTTGCTTTTCCTTTTTGGGTAAAGTTTCTACAAAGCTTGCTGATAAAACTCTTTTTCATTTTACTTTCTGCAACACAATTCAGTTACTTCTGGAGCTCACAGGAGATGTAGCTGATAATGGGCTTGAGTCTTCCAGTTTAAAGCAGGAGCTAGGATCATAAAGACGCAGAGCCCCATACTGCTCTCCGGATCAGAGGCCCGCCCTTGGAAACGTGCCCCGTGCTCCTGTCTCCTCCCTTGGTCCATTTGCACCTTCTGAAAAGCCACGAAAACCTGGGGAGAGGCAGGGGAGGTTTTTGGTCATCTTCCCATGAACCTTGAAAAGTGATTTTGTTTCGGGGAAATGTCTCCTAATAAAAGAAACCAGAGGGGAGAGTTAAAAAAAAAAATACTCTGGGCAGCTCCTTTGTGACAGTGAATGATTTGAAGTCATTCAGAGGACTGCTAGCCATGTCTGGAGACTGCCACCGGTGCCCTCTTATTGGAAAAACTAAAACAAAAAAAAAAAACAGTAAACCAGGACAGTTTTAAGTTATCGCTTTGTCAGTGGAAAGCCCCTCTGTAAGTTTAATTGGCGTCTTCACAATTCAGCCTGCATGCTTTGAGGAGGCCTAGTAGGTGTGCGTTGCTGAGCAGGTGGAGGACGTGACAAGCCTCCTCCACTGGCCTCCACTCTGACATGGCGCACAGCCAGCCTTGATGAGGTCACACCATTCACTCCAGTGTCCTCTCCTCTCTCAATTCCAGCTGCGAAAGTTCAGGATGAGCTGGAGAAGACAAGCCCACCTCTCAAGTAGAGGAGAAATCTCCTGGCAGGGAATAAAAGCTGTCCTGTTTTTATTGTGCAAATAGCCGTGGCGCTTGGCTCTCTCAGCACACTTTCTTGTGCAGTTCTTCACCCGATGGCCAAGCGAAGGCTAAGGGAAACTTTCTCAGTCCTTATGATGCTTTCATCAGATAACCAGTGTCAAATATCTTCCAGAATACGGTGTCTCCTCCGACTTCAGAGTTTGTTCTTGGGAAGTTAGAGATAAAAAAGAAAAAGATGGCCTTAATAAATCTACCCTTGGGAGTACACAGTTCCTGGTTCTGTTTTCCCTTGGGGCAGTGGACCCGATATTACCAACAATTCAAATATTCTGGCCTTTCTTAGCCAACTTTGGCAGACAGGATTTTTTTTTTTTAACAATTCTATCATAATTGAAACTCAGTGGTCTTCTGCAGAAAACCAAGGCCACCTCTTTGGTCAGTATTGAATTTGGACTGAAAAGCATCCCTTGAAGAGGGAGATGTTTGCTTTTTGTAGAGTGAAATTCCAGGAAGAACATTTAAGACTGACTTTTTTGGCCGCCATTAACGAGCCAGTATGGAGAGCTGTGTTTGGGGCTGGAGTGGTTGGAGGGGTTTGTTTATTTTGTTATTGACAGTCGGGGAGGGAAGGGGTGAGGATCTTTGCTTGCTTTTCCTGGATGCCCTTAGACCCCTGCGTTCCTTGCCATGACCAAGGATCAGTCCTTTATGTTCTCCCAATTCTGCAGGCTGCAAGTCAGAGGGCAAGGTGTGGGCAGAGTCGGTCTTTCCTGAGGCCTTCCCCCTGGGCTGGTAGCTGACCTCCTTCTCCCTGGGCCCCCACATCACCTTCCCTCTGGGGGTCTCCGTGTCCAAATGTCCTCATCTGTTAAGCACACCAGTTAAGTTACGTTGGATTAAAGCCCACCCTAATGACCTCATTTTAACTTCCTCTGAAGACCCCCATGTCCAGTACTGCGTGATTACATGCTGAGGTCCTGGGAGTCCAAGGGCTTCAACGTGGATCCGAGGGAGACATGTCGGCCTGTAACAGCTGGGATCCAGCATCTTCATGCCAAATCTGTCAGACCCTTGCTTCACAATGACCGGAAGAGACAGAGAGAAGGTGTTCATGAATCTTCCACGAGGACTGGCTTGCTTCAGACCGTTTTGCCTTTGCCCTCCTTCAATGTGGAAGAAGTTAAAAATCCACCGAGAGCTCTCATTTATGCCTCATAAGACCCCTGTGAAGTGGGTGCCATTGTCAACCCGGTCCTGCAAATGGGGTGATGAATTCTTGCTTGTCGTTTGTGTAAAGCCCCGGTGCTACTCCACCGTGGAACAAGGGCTTGACCCAGCTGTCCCGTCCAGAACCTGAGCTCTTACTCTATCCAAGGTGCCTATCTTTGTCTTGTGGGCAGAGGAGAAGCCTGTGTCACACAGCTGACTGTATTCGGCTCAGCACCCAGTGGTACATGGAGATTGGTCTCAGCACCTCCCAGAATACCTAGGAGTGAGCTGCAGCCCCACCTACTCTGCCCGCTGGTCTTTAGCAAGAGGACCTTGGTGAGCCTGGTGCACGTGTGCGAAATGGGAGAACTGGCCAGGTCCTTGTTTGTCAAACCTTTGAGCTGAGGTTCACAGTAAGAAATTTACTTTACCCCACAGCTGAGTCCACAGACACCCCCACACTGTGCCTGACTGACACAAACATTGCCCCAAATACCCGCCCTTACTCCATGTGAGCACACTCTGTTCTGTTCAAATCCATTTATTCTTTACAATACTCACTGTGACCTACTCAGCTGGATCTGTCTAAAGGCTGAACTAGGCTACGCAGTTGAGACTCCAGGGATCCTAAAATCCTGTTAATCTTCAGGGATTGTAGTCTTTCCCTTCTTTTCTTTTTATTTATTTATTTATTTATTTTAGTTGAAGGTGGACAGGATATCTTTATTTTATTTATTTATTTATTTTATGTGGTGCTGAGGATTAAACCCAGGGCCCTGCCTCTCGCATGCGAAGGTAAGCGCTCACCCACTGAGCTACAACCCAGCCCTGGAGCCTAAGTTAAATACCTTCATTTATTTGAGACAAATGGACGGTAACTATTTCGGGGACAGCGTCCTCCGTATGAGCTAACTCCTCACAGTGATGATTATCATTTCCACCGATGGTGCATCTCCTGCAGCCTATTGGTTTGTAGGTCTTTGTCTCTGATTTATTCTTGAGGAAACCAAGGATCACATCCTTTGCTCCAGGCCCTGGAGGTAGTAGGGGGCAGAGCTGAGATTTCAACGAAGGCCTTCTAATTCCAAAGCCCTGACTTGCAACTTTCCCTTCAGGGGAGGACATTTCAAGGGGCTTGAGAGGTATCTGGAAGCTACTGCAGCCGAACAGAATTCCTTCCTTAATGACTTGCTGTCCCTGGTAGAAACGACTGTCCTTTGGGGTGTGAAGCCAGCGCCGTATCGCCCGAGGAGCTCTTCCCACCTTCCTGCCCTGGCCAGGCCACCTCCAGACCCGCTAAATCAGAATCTCTGGGCGTGGGACCCAGGCAGAGGTGCTTTTTAAAGCCCCCCAGGTGGCTCCAGTGTGTAGCAGGGTTAGAAACCATTGCTCTGAAATCTTGGTTAAAGAAATTAAAGAGCTGTAGGAACTTTTCCATTTACTTCCTGCAAACCAGATTTCTTAAAATACTGCCCAAGCCTTTCAACTGTTCTGTAAAGCGGGGAAGTTTAGGGCCTTTGCTCTTTTTTTGGAACACACACACACACACACACACACACACACACCAGGGGAACAACCCTGTCTGCTCTTCAACACCTAGAGGGAGCAGAGGATGCTGTGGGCATGGACGGGGTCCGGGTGGGGGCTTTGAAGCAGCGGGTGTTCTGGAGTGTCAATGTCCACGACACCTTGTCACTCAGCTCACATAGTTTTGAAAGTCATTTTTTATGTAACGTAGAGAAGTCAGGTGTTGATTTAATCAGAACTGAGCCTGACGGGGAGTTATAGGCCTATGGGACAGTGTAGAAAGCCAAAGCAGTAAGGCCACTGAGAATATGACAACATGAATGATAAGCCATCACGGTTTCTTCAGAGAGCCGCAGGGAACGTTCTCTCTGTTTGCACGTGGACCGTGGGAACAGTGGCCAAGCCCAGGATGCTGTCCCACATCCTGTCCCCACAGGAATAGGGAGCAGTCCTTTCACCCTGACTTATCCCTGTGCCCTTGCAGGTGGATCCCATTTGGTTCCAATGACACTCCGTTTCACTGTGTTCTATGCAGTTATCTCCAAAACAGGACTCTCGCCCACTGCCGGGTTTCCCATGTCTCAGGAGACAGCATTTATAATGTCAAAAATACCTGCCATCTTCATCATTCAGAGAATGAAAACGCAAAACAGTTGTCCCTGGGCGTCTGAGGACAGCTGGTTTCAGGACCTCCTACAGACTTCCGCATCCACAGAGGTTCAAGTGCCTCCTGTCAGTGGCACAGTGTGTGCACATAACCAGCTCACATCTTCCCATATACAGTGTAAATGTTGTTAATACTGTATTATTCCAGGAATAGGAATAATACAAAAGTGTACATTTTTAGTGCAGATGCCATTTTTTAAATGTTTTCGATCTGCTGTTGGTTCGACGCACAGATGTGGGACTCGTGAACAGAGGGCTGGCTGTGTTACCCTCACAGAGCAAAGTTCCATTCTCTTCTGGGACAGTTGTTTGTTTCTTTTGGACCCCCGGACAGTCCCGAGTCCCGAGCTTAGGCCGGTGTGGCATGGCTGGAGGTGCTGAGCTTCTGTCCTGTCCTTAGTAATAGCTCTCGACATTCACTTCCAGAACGAGGTGGCTGCACTTCTGAAACCCATATCGGAAAAGATTCAGGAAATCCAGACCTTCAGAGAGAGAAACCGAGGGAGCAGCATGTTCAACCATCTCTCGGCCGTCAGCGAGAGCATCCCTGCCCTGGGGTGGATAGCTGTGGTGAGTCGGCCGGGGCCCTTCCCCTTGCCCATTGGTGCAGTGTTTAGGAGACCTCGTAGCCACCTTCACCCCCTCCACAGCCTGATGCCCGAAGGAGGGCTCCTTCTAGGCTGAGCGTATTGGCTTTTCCTCATCCTGTTTGAAGTTCATTGCTGAAGGTGTTTCACCAGCCTCTCCAGAGCACAGTTTGCCTGCAACTTTCAACCATTGCTTTTCTTCTTCTTCAAGTCATTTTCTTTCTTATCCTATTTTTTTGTTTCCTTCTATGCTTGGGTGATGGTCCTGTTCTCTCAGTCCCCCAAACCTGGTCCTTATGTCAAGGAGATGAACGATGCTGCCACCTTTTACACTAACAGGGTCTTAAAGGACTACAAACACAGGTACGTGCCTTCTTTTACTAGCCGGATTTCCACTTGGTCACTTGTTAGATCTTTGTTCCTAAAACTTATTGCGGCTAGTTCCGAATCCCTTTCCCGTGAACCACGCTAATGTACTACAGACGCTAAGGAAAAATCCATCTTTGCAGGTCAAGCCCAGGGGGAAGTGGAATCAATTATGCAGACAGTGAGTGTGTTCAGAAAGCTTCCCTCGGTTGTCTTTTCATGGATCAGCTGTCCCCTCTTGAAGGCGCGTCACTACGCTATGTATTTCTGTAATCCTGAGAGAGCTCTGTGATGGACCGCCCTCCGTGGGCACCGATCTTTTATACTAATGGAAGTAGAGTTGGTGGGTGAGCAGATGGAGGACAGACGGACTCCGGGAGGCCAGTGTAGGTCAAGATCAGAGGTGGGATGGGGCAGTTAGAGGGAAACTGATGGATCCGAAATGAAGTACAAATGGGGTGGACGGGGAGACGTGGGTGACAAGAGCAGCTATTCACAGGGCTGTCGAAAGCACAGGTGATCATGTTATGTGCGTGGACAGGCATGTCACAGTGAATCCCACCATTATGTGTAAGTATAAAGCACTAATAAAAAAAACTAACTTAAAAAAAAAAAAAGAAGGTACAGGTGAGTCCAGACCAAGGGGCTTTGTCTAGAGAGCCCGCGTGAAAGGACCTTGCATTCTACAGCCCAAACAGTAGGTCCTAGAAAACTAGAACTGGGATCAGGATGGAAAATGGGACCCGGGGGAGACATGCCAAAGCTGAGGAAATACCCAGAAGATGCCCCTGAACAACGCAGGGAGCATCACGAGGTTCCTGATAAGGTCATGCTTTGCCCCCCACACAGCTGGACAAATGTTCTGAGCTGGGGTCTCGTAACTAAGGGAAGAGTTAGAGCATAAGTAAGAGCAGCGATGTGCCCCCTGCCTCGGCTCTGGGCTCCACGGTGATCCCCATGTGAGCCCTTCAGTGCCAGCCACAGAGCAGGGCGTCAGTGAGCTAAGGCAGGGCTCCTGGGGACATCTCAGTGTTGGTCCAGACTGTCCCACTAAAGGAAATTTGAGGACTTGCATCATCTGGATCATCACCTCAATTTGCCTCTTTATTTTACTAACACAGACCTGAAAAGGATCCACAACAAGGCGAATATTATACGGCACATAGAAAAATGCGTAGAATGCAAAAATAAATACCTACCAGAGTTCTAAGTCATGGGCCAATCCAGCCCGTACTCCAGATTTGCACCACTTTTTATTTTATAGGTCATTTTTTTGTTTTAATAAACATTGAGTAGATTCAAAAGACTACTTTCAGAATATACGTAGGTGTAAAGAAGTGCAGAGCAAAGAATACCCACCTTCCACTACCTCTTTTAAGAACTAGCTAGGAATATTTTTTTTTTTTAACTACAATTCCACTCCTAGGTATATATCCAAAAAGAAAGGAAGAATCTAGAAGTGAGGTGTAAAATCAAGACCAGAGGTGAGATGAGTCAGTAAACCAGACAGTGACAGGGAAACCTATCGAGTTAAAATGAAGTACAAACGGGGTGGACGGGGAGACGGGGGCGACAGCAGCAGCTATCAGAGGGCTGTCGAAAGCACAGGTGGGGAGCCAAGGGTGAGAGCACCCAGAGGCCCTTCAGCGGATGACTCCAACGAGATGTGCTGTCTCCATGCAAGAGAATATCATGTAGCCATAAAAAAAAAGTGAAGTATCAATACAGATGGCTACATGGGTGAACCTTAAAAACACCGTCCAGCCAGACACAAGAAAGCACATATTGTATGGTTCTATTTATATGAAATTCAAAATAGGCAGATCTATAGAGACAGAGCAGCTGCCCAGGGCTGAGTAGTTTAGGGGAGAAGGGAAGTAACTGCAGATGAGTAGGGGGGGCCTTTGGGGGGGGGGGGACAAAGAAAATGTTCTAAAACTAATTGTGATGACTGCTCACCTCTGTTGAGCTAAATCATTGAATTGCGTACTTTAAATTGTACAGGCTATGAATTCTGTCTTTATAAAACTGTTATATTTTTTAAAATAGCTATAGTTTGTTCATTCTATGTTAGCAAAGCAGGCCTTGTAGCTTTTAGGAACAGCACCATTAGCAGGTGGAACTACCAACAATGGCACGGGCCTCCTTCCTTGAGAGAGCTCTGATTAAAGCAGTTGTGCTCAGGGGCAGACTTCCTGTGACCACAGCAAGTACCCAGGCAACCATGCCCAGGGATCTGATGCCACATGTTGCCGTGGGATGTTAGAGGCCACGAAACACGCAGCGCGCCTGAGAAGAGGCTCACAGGCGCAGGACAGCTTGCCCTTGTTCACACGCAGGTGCCATTTCAGAAGATGGGGAGTGTGTTAACAGACCTGGGTGTGATATGTCGGCAGGAACACTCCCCGGGTGACTCCTTTTTCAGGATGTATAGATGCTTCTGCCTGCCAATTCAGGGCAGCTTCAGCACTGTTTAGGCTTCTGCCTTTGAGAAGATCACCCTTGAAGAACATTTTTATTTGTGTCTCAGTTCAGGGGCACCTGCCTTTCTCCCAGCCCCCACTGAGTGCATGTCGGGGCCCCGGGTGTGTCATTCCCCCCCCCCGTGGTGGCATGGCCGGGGTGGTTGGGGTTTTCCACACCTGGTATATATACTAAAAGAATCCAGTATTTGCCCCTCATGTCAGCCATTGAGTAGAAAAAGTACTTCCAGCAGCCTCGGGGTTGACTCGGTCAAGTCTAGTGGACCATGAGGACAAGCCAGACGTTCAGGTGCATCCTTCCACTTCCAGAAGCCGCACACCTGTCCCCGTCCACCCTCGATCTCCTAGGGCTGGTCACCAGATGACAGCAGAGTACCCCACAGCCTCAAGGCTTGTGGTGGACCCCAGCCTGCAGTGATGGACCCTGGGTGGAGGAGCTGGGGGGTGGAGGAGCTGGGGTGGAGGAGCTGAGGGGTGGCTTCCTTCCGGTTGAAGCAAGGGCAGTGAGCATGCCTCTCCTCTATGTGCTGCCGTGGCTGGACCCTTCGTTCAGTATGACAGGGCAGGTGGGCTGGCTTCCTCGGGGTGTGGCCTCCTTCTGTCACGGCTCCTATTCCCCTAACACGGCTCCCTGCAAGGTCAAGGAAAACCAAGGGAGTGTGTGCAGTTGCCCCTGGGTTTTTGGACCCTGCTCCATTTATCTCTTAGGGATTTGAAGTAAAAGTCACCATTCCTTACTACCAGTTTTTCTGGAACTTTCTTCAAGTCAGACTCATGCTGTACTGATTAAAAGGAAAGGTGAATATGCTTGATAGATTCGGTCTTCACTGGTTGTTGAATGTTTTAATAAAGTTTGTTGAATGTGCGCCATGACATCTCTACAAGGCCTACAGGCACATTTGTGTGTTTCATATGCACGTACACATGTACACATATGCACGTGTGTCAAATGACCATATATGTAAACATGGGTATACACTTATATTAAAGTGGTTTCGTGCTCTAAAAGTAGCTGTGTGCAGACTGCTTCTCATGTGCAAGGCACTGTACCAAGACCCTCACAAAACCTGTGGGTGAGGAAACTGATAAGAAGCACATGACCTTCAGAGACTGACACAAAGTGTGTCATGAGACAAAGCAACAGTGAGATTCTTCATAGATTTTGTTATACATATGTATCAATTGATTTTAAATTTCTCAGTTAATTGATTATTAATACATAATAATCGATTTATATATATTTAATTAATTGAGAAATTTAGAATGAAACTCCATTCATGGGTTCCCTCCTGAGGATGAATGAGAAGGTAGGAGTCCCCCCCACGCTCTTCCGAGTGGCATGCTTCAAACAGTGGGACTCCAGACAAGCTGGTGGGACTTGGAATGTTTCAAGGAAAACAAAATGAAGTGGCCTAGAGACACGTCATTATTGGCAGGAGCTTTAATAACAGACATTTCCTTTGGTGGTTCTCTTCAGATTAATGACCCAGGTGTATAATTAAATGTTCATTAGCTCAGCTATCATCATCTTCTCCTTACCACCCCTTCATGCCAAGTGGGAGAACGAACATTGGGCTGGAGGAGGTGATGCACACCTGTAATTTCAGCAACTAGGGAAACTGAGGCAGGACGATCACAAGTTTGAGGCCAGCCTCACCAGTTTAGCAAGACTCTAAGCAACTCAGCCAGACCCTGTCTCAAAATAAAAAAGGGCTGGGGATGTAGCTCAGTGGTAGAGAACCCCTAGGTTCAATCCCCAGTACCAAAAAGAAAAAATATATGATGAAAATTACCAAAAAGAAATATAATTACCTTCATCTGTCTGTGAGTTTCATGCTCCTAACAGCTCTCTTAATCCTGTATGTTAATCCTGCCATAAAAGGTAAGCACTTTGCTAGCACTCGGTTCAATAAAGTAAGAGATAAAAACCCTGATTGTGCCCCACCTCACTTGGGATGCCAAGAGTATCAAATCAAGGGCATGTAAGTGAATGTCCCCCTAGACATACAGGGTATGACCTGTTGGTGAGGAAATATTTTTCTTACATACTGACTTCCTTATCAGTCATGATAACTAAAGTTCTCCAATCAGTTATACTATTAACCAAATAATTCAACTGAATTATTAGAAATCAACCAAGTGACTCTTTTCTCTTAAGTCCCGTTCTCATTTCTGAGAACATATTGTTCTTGATTCTGTACCAGAAGCCATACTGGAAGAAGTGGCCTCCCGCCACCGTCTCCTCCATTAGGGATGACAGAGACTGCCAGAGGACACGTGGCCCATGTTGGCCCTGTTGGGTCAGGTCCCCTGTCTGGTCTTTCCATTCTCGTTTGGAGCTCAGGACTTGGGCCGTGTGTCCACCTCCCTCAGGAGAGTCCTGGGCCACCTTCTCCTCTGGTTCTCTTGTGGCTAGAGGGAGAGTCGCTCTGGGTCATGTGGCTGCTGGTTACTGGATAACCACAGTGCCATCTATTTTAAATTTATTTGAGATCCTAACTCCGCTCTCTTCCACTCTCTTTTGTAACAAAGTGACTTACGGCACGTGGATTGGGTGAAGTCCTACCTGAACATCTGGAGTGAGCTTCAAGCCTACATCAAGGAGCACCACACCACAGGCCTCACCTGGAGCTCGACAGTGAGTACCACGCCCCTTCCACCCAAGTGACAAGGCATGAAACTATTTATAGAAACATGTCCCCTATGGCCCACTAACCCAGTATGACCCTAAACTTTGCCCCAAGGAAAGAGAATAAAATGTGCATAAGAAACCATGTGGGGAAAGATGGTGGCATCATAGGAAAATCCAGGAACATGTGACTACGGAAAGAAAATGTGATGTCGTCTATGGTGACACTCAACAGCCACTAAAGTTAACACGTGGTGATTACATGGAAGGCACTTTGCCATTAATGTCAGGTGGTAAAGTCAAGCACAGACATGTGTGAGAACCAAGATGGTGGAGTGTTAAGAAACTTATGAGAACAGAAGGGAACAGGAAGCTTTGAATATGGGTATAATTTTAAAGAGGTAAACTGATCAGTAGAATGATCTTTCAAATGTTCTTGATTTCACTTTTGATGTGTTTAAGTGTATTGAACAATGTTTATGCGTCGCTGGGTGATCCTGGTCTTCTGAGGGTGCCTAGCAGGAGGATGCAATCCCGGGCAGGGTCTGCCCCGCTCTCATGTCCACAGGGGGCCTGAACCTGGCCTCCGCCTCTTGTGGGGCTTTGCATCTCCTGTCATGCTGGCCTTACTGAGCACTCCAGCGACCCGTAGCTACTTGTATTATCTGTGCACAAGCCCCACTTAGGTTGGACCAAATGGAATTGTTTTCAAATTTGCCAAACTCGTGTTGTTTGACCTTAATTGCAATGTCCTGAGCATATATCCTGCTGAATAACCTGAGTTCCCCAGGGGAAGCACCGCTGCCCCTCGTCCACGGTCCCAAACGTGGTCACCTCCTTAAGAAAGTTCATGGACTTTCATCAGCTCCCCATCTGATGGGTGGCTCTTTCTATCCCTCCTTTGTGTCTTGAGTATACCTTAGTCGGAGCTCTTAGCACATAGAATCGTAATTTTGTGTGCTTTCGGGACTCTCTTACTTGACTGCAAACTCATCTGTATCCCAGCCCCTCACATAGTACCTGGCATGCAGTAAGTGCTCAACTAATGATTTGAATGACATCACGAGTTAAGGGTATCTTAGAATCTCCCTTGCCCTTTGGAGTCTCTGCATTTGCTTCCCAGTGGAATCTCCCTTCCAGTAGTGGATGATCTCGCCAGAGTAAGTATTGAGAAAATGAAGCAGCCATGGTGAATCCATTCAGAGGTGAAATCTCCCTCTCCTGAAGCTGTACCCCAGCACCTACCTTTCCATTCTGGCGGCTGCTGTCAGTACAGTAGCCCTAATGCGAGGGCAGTTTGTGATTTTCCAGGGGAGTCTAGCATTGCTACATTTGTCCCCAGCAGGTAGGCACTGATGACATGGTCTCCTCGAGATGATGTCTCTTTTTATTTTTCACTTTGTCTTTTTCTTCCGTAGTGTTGAAATGTACCATGCAAAACTAACTAAGCTGGCCAGTTATTTTTATTCTGCCCACGACACTGTGACTTTTGAGAAGAGAGTTTATAAACATCTGGAGGGTTTTAATAAGAAAAGATGCATGTGTGTGAGGATGGGTGTTCACATCGACTAGTTGGGATGATTTTTCATCCCACTCAAATGAGATAATGTTAGTTAGATCAATATGTCATGAAGGGGCATCGTCATATCTTTGCCATGGAGACAGCCCATCATTAGAAAATAGTAAACTGAAAAATCAAGAGACCTGGGATCTGTTATTATTTGATGGTAGATAAATGGAAGAGAAATGAGAATCCATTTATGGAATATAATGTTAGTAAATGCTCGTCTATTACTTCTCTAATGGTACCCATGGAAAATGAATAGAAAATTATTTTTAAATGGTTTGAATACCTTTAATGCCGTGTATAAAGCTGAGTAATTATGTTTATGAATATAAAGGAAGAGCATTGATTATTAATTGTAGCAAAAGTAAATGTAGCTTTTTCCTTTGTTCTAGAGTGAATACTCTAACAGTTTAACTAGTGAATTAACTAGTGAATATGTTTGTAAGAAATAATGCCTCGTAGCAGTAACCCTCAAACTTTTTAAGACAAATTATAGAAAGAAATACATTTTACACACACCCCCTACATGCATAATACTAAAACAAGTTTCACAAAACAATCCTCTTTCTTACTGCGTACGATGCATTCAAGTATTTTCTTTTTATTTTTATGTCTTTTTTAATAAAATTCTGGTTAAGACTCACTAAATCAATTTCGTGACCTACCAAGGGGTCACATGTATATTTTATAACACAATGAAAAAGTGTTGTAAAACATATATGTCATATTTATGCAAAATGCAGGTGATCCATAGAGCACACATTGTGGACTACCATAACAATGAAAGCTATTGTTTATTAAGCATATAATATGTTGTGGGAAAATTCTATTTAGAAAAATAGAAGTGAAGTGTCTACTCCACTTCTTCCCCCATCCTACCCCCAAACCTGGGTGCTGGAGGTTGAGCCCAGGGCCTCAGGGTGTGCTCAGCGGGCACTCTTACCCCTAGCCCCACCACCAGCCCTACTTCACTTTTGCAAAGAAGAGAGAATGATAAAGTGTTGGTTCAATGTTTAAAGTAAGAAATGATTACAATGAATAACGTTGGTTCAGAAATAACAGCGTGCTGGGTACAGAGTTGCACACCTGTAATCCCAGCAACTCAAGTGGCTGAGGCAGGAGGATCTTAAGTCTAAGGCCAGCCTCAGCAACTTAGCAAGACCCTAAGCCACTTAGTGAGACCCTGTCTCAAAATAAATAATAAAAACAGCTGGGGATACAGCTCAGTGATTAAGTGTCCCTGGGGTACAATCCCTGGTACCATGTGTACAAAATCTTTTGACCTGCTTTAAGACCTGAACAGAAACATATTTCCTGATGTTGTTGTGTTCTTCTAAGGTTTGGAGGGAAGCTACTAAAAAGTATATCATAAAAATCATTCTTTTGACTTTTAAAATTATATTTCTATTTCAAATTACTAAAAACAATTTAAAGACTCTAAGCATAAAACAAACTAATCTCTTCTCCCCTACCGTGTACCATCAACATACCAGCACAGGAATGATAATACAAAGCCTGAACCACAGCTTTCCTGCAAAGAGGAAAAAGCCGTTTGAACGGTCTGGTCAACTGGACTTGGGGAGAAAAACTAGATTCTTTTATTTATTCGTCTGCTGATCATGACTATGTAAAAACTCTGTTTAGAAATGATACGGATTAGGAAAGAAGGTAGAAAGATGTAGTGTTCCCAGACACCGAGGGACTTGGAGGGCTGCAGAAACAGGTTTGGCCTCTCGAGGATGCAGCCCTTGCAACACTCCTGCACATACCACAGAGAACCTTCCATGACTTAACATCTCAAGAATTTTGAGCCATTGCTTTCTTTTGTTTTCAAGTTGGAGTTTGAGATCCATACTCCTTGCAGTTTTCGTGACCGCCAGCTTGCTGCGGGAGGGTCTCCCAGGGAGCCTGGCTCTAAGCCCCCTTGCCTGGCCTGGGTGGGCCTCTGGGACAGAGCTTGCCTCTTCCGCCTCCTACCCTTTGCCTTCAGGCTGCAGCTGTGCCAGGCAACGGCTGCTCCTGTCACTTGTCACAGTGAAATGTGAAGCTGGGGGAACAGTGATTGGAGAGGCCGTGTGGGTGCACAAGTGTGCTGGGGTTGGGTGGAGGTGTTGGGGACGGGAGCAGCTGTGCGGTAATCCTTCTGGAATTTCTGAACGCATCTGCGGTGGTAAATGGAATCTACTCATTTCTGTGGGCTTTTCTTCAACCTGAGGCCAACTGTGAACCGGAAGGACCCTCCACTCGAAATGACCCTGGCTCTTCATTCTTTCCCTTTCATACCAATGGAAGCCATTTCTTTAGTGCAAAGGTTCAAATACATTTTATTGAAGAGATCAATCTTTGGGCAGAAACCCAGTAGAGAGGCTGGAATTTATCACCCAAATTCGGTCAGATTTGTAATATTCAATGGCAGTACTTTCAAGTCAAATGACTAACGATGAAAGATGAAGGCCTAGTCTTCACAATTACCAAAACAATTGATTTTTTTTTTTTTGATGAATTGTCTGGTTGGTATTCAAACCGGTCTGTTCTTCGTGAATTGAACCAGAAAAGAGACATGAAAAGAATTCCACAAATAGGATAATTGTGATTATTTTATTAACTTTTTTGGTGTTAAACTTGTCGACATGTGTCTGTCTTTTCATGTATGTCTGAATTACTTTAACTTTAGGAACAATTAGGGTGTAATTATCTGTAGAATAGAATAAAACTATACATAAATGAATGTATGCAAAGTCTTATATAGTGATATAGTGCTTAGGGTTGGTAATGTGAGTTTTAAAAATATGTTAATTTTTATGTATGCTAATTGTCATCTGCCCTGACTTAACATCCAGGCAAATGCAAATTATTAGGCTGCTTAAAATAATAGTCAAAATAATAATAATAATAATAAATTTCCCAAAGCAAGACACGAGATCATTTCTTTTCCTCCAGGTATTCTTTCAGCTTATTTCTCAATGTAAAGGCTAAATGTCCATTAACAAAGCAAAAGATAAACAGTTTGATTTTGATCAAATTAAAACTCAGCCAGAGGGTATCCTGACTTCTTATAAATAATGTAGACTCGGTAGCGTGTCATGAAATATGTATATCTGGTAAGTTTTCAAGTTGTCTGGTCTCTCTGGCTCCCTCTTGCTATTTACAAAGAGAAAACTCTTGCCCTTTATATCAAAGTTTTCATTTGGCCCTTGTGCTAAACCCCTGCCTTGGGTTTGTTAACCAATGTGAATGGGCAAAGCCCCAGCGGGGTGTCCTTTGTCTGGTTCACAAAGTCCACCGCTGTCCTCTTATGATCTGCCCGCAGAGTGGCTCTCACCATTGTCCTTGACCACAGCTGTGTTAAATGTACTTTCCACCCCTTTATGGAGCTTTGGGTAACCAATTACAAACCGTTCCTTGACTTACAATGGCCTGACTTACGATTTTTTAACCCTAT